ATCATTTGTTGAAATAATTAATAAATATGTTTATATAATATTTCTATATAATTTTTAAAATTAATGAAATTTAGTCTAACACTTAACTTCCCATCATAAGAGTTTAAATAAAAATTGACTTTAAGATTTAAACTATATTTACTTAAGTTAATATATGTCTAAAAGACATATTATATAAAACATAAATATACGAGAAACAAAATATGAAGATGGAAGAGTTCAATCGAATTTCATTAAAGCTAAAAAAAAACAGTACTTTGATTTTGGCAATTGAAATCACAAAGAGATAATATTAATCATTTTATAAACTATATGAAAAGAAATTAAGACATTTTATTATTTAATGAAATTTAAGATTGTCAGGTTTTTACTCCTTGCTACTTGACCTTATTTTCTAATATTTTCATATGAACTTTTAATGTTGATATTATAAACATTTTCATTATAGGATCAAAATGTTGAAAAAAAATGCTTATTTAATAAGTTTGACATATAATTAAATGTATTCAAAATAAGTTTGCACTATTAACTAATTAAAAATAATCATGTGTATATTTTTTATTTTAGTATTATAAAAGTCAAACAAATCTACCACAGATGCACCATTTATAGTTGAATGAAAGTATAAGGGATTTAATATTTACAGTACATGTATTATTTATTCTACAAAAATTAAAACAATACTTTCATTGAAATCTTTAACATTATAAAAACAAATTTTCTCACAAAACAATACAAATATGTTTTTTTATCCTATTAGACATTTTTTTTTTAACTTTACTGGATCGAAAATTAATTTCATTTATAGTTGTCACTTTTGTTGGTTCAAGAAGTTTTCACATATAATAAAAATCATACGCAGAACCTTTTTATACAAATAATCACAACGAATTAACCTCGTCCAACCACTATCAACTCATACTCGTATATTAAGCCATACAAAGATTTGTGTATTATTATCTAATTCAAAATTTGATAGAACATGTAATAAAATTATTAATTTAGTAATAGTTATTTAAAAAAACACATATATAATAATTTTTAATTGATCTTTTTGGTTAAGAAAATAAGATATCAATTTGAGTATCTCGTTTTATAGGTACTAAAGTATAAAAAAAATATTAAGACATCATAATTTAAAAACAAAAATATAATAATGTAGAATTAAAAATATTATAATATTTAAGGCAAACCAAACAACGTAGAATTAAAAAATATTAGTTATTCCCTTTTTAATATTATATAACCAGTTTAGTAATAATAAATTAAGTGTATTTTTTATTTATTTATATGTAGATATTATATTTTTCATAATTTATTAAACAATTTAAATATATCGGCAGTTTAATTAGAGGTGTAAAAATAATTTTAGTATAATGGATCGGTCAAGTTTGAGTTATGATTTATTTTGGCCTAGATAAATTATTTATAGGATTATGAATTAATATATTTTATAGAATAATAATTATTTAAAATATATATATATATATATATATATATATTATTTTATTAATATATATATATATATATATATATATAAATTAATTAAATAAATTATTTATAGAATTATGAATTAATATCTTTTATAGAATAATAATTATTTTTAAAATAAAAGATATTATATTATTAATATATATATATATATATTATAAATAAATTTAAAAATTTTTTACTTGTTTTAAAAATAAATATAAAAAATTTATAATTTATAATTATTTTACGATTTAATGATTAAAATAAATTATTAATGTAAATAAATAAACTACTTAAAATATTAAAAGATGATGATAAAAAATAAATTTTAATTCTTATTTTAGAATTAAATATAATAAAATATTATATTTAAAATAAAAATTAATTTTATTAATATAATTTAAAATATAAAAATATATTATTTATTTATTTTTTATTAATTAATTGATTTAATATAAATATATCAATTATTTTTAAAATTTTAATCAAAACAAAATTAACTTGTTGATTTAGGATTAAACTAAATTAAAATTTATGAATACTTTTAATGACCCTTAATTCTAAAATTATAGATTGGACTAAATTATAATTTATTTATTTTTAATTCTTCCATAGATTCCTACACTCCTAGATGGGATCATTATATTATCATCAACGTGGTATCAACCCTTACCCCTTGTTTGGTTGGAGTGATTTGAGAGAGTGGAAATGAGAGAGTGGAAAAGGAGGGATTTGAAGAGAAATGAAGGTAAAGTTAAAGTTGTTTGGATGAATGGAAAGTGTGAGGAAAGTTTATGGGAAATTGTGAATGATTTGATGGATATGAGATATAAAAATTATAATTTTATGTTGATTATTTAAGAAAATTACCATTTTACCCTTTGTATAAAATAAGGTTCAAATGATTATAAATATAATTTTTTAATTAATTATCTATATTTTAACATTGATTATATATTTAAAAGAAAAAACAAATTTACAAGTATTTGTAATTGGAAACAAATTTAAAAAATTAACTTTTTTTTAAATAGTTATTAAAAATTATATAAATAAACAATTACAAAATTATGTACATTGCATATCCATATTCAAATAATTTTGACATATTAATTAAATTATTTGACTAATAATTAAATAATTATATAAAATATAAAATAATAATTAATATCGATCGATAATAACAAATAATTATGAAATGAAAGTAAATTATATTTTAGAAGATATAAATTTTCAAATGATCGACTTTAGATAGCGGTTAACCTGGAACCGCTATCATATGTTCACCTCGATAGCGGTTCCAGGTTAACCGCTATCTAAAGTCGAGTATTTGAAATTCTGATCGATTACTTTGCCAAAATGATCGATTAGAATGTTAAATACTCGAGACTTTAGATAGCGGTTAACCTGGAACCGCTTATCGAGGTGAACATATGATAGCGTTCTGGGTTAACCGCTATCTAAAGTCTCGAGTATTTGAAAATCTAATCGATTACTTTGCCAAAATGATCGATCAGATTTTTATATACTCGAGACTTTTAGATAGCGGTTAACCTGGAACCGCTATCATATGTTCATCTATGATAGCGGTTCCAGGTTAACCGCTATCATATGTTCACATTTAAGAGCAGTTAAGATGTTAACCGCTCTTAAAAGTGAACATCTGATAGCGGTTAACGTGGAACCGCTATCTAAAGTATTATATTCGAAATTAGTATTAGATAGCGGTTGTGTATTTAACCGCTATCTAAGATGTATTTGAGATAGCGTTTGTCTTTTTAACCGCTATCTAAGACGTATTTGAGATAGCGGTTTTCTTTTTAACCGCTATCTAATGAGATAGTCATGCACCCTATCTAGCAGAGTGAGGGTAAGTTGGACATTTCAATTTGTCCAGTCAGCTTTCATCTCATTTCTTCGTGCATCAGCAAAGAACCCCTTTCTCCTTTCTCCCGCTTTTCTTCGCTTTCATTTCGTTGCATTTCGTCGCAAATCAGTTCAACCAAACGTGTGTCATCCTCGCACTTCTCTCCGCGTGAACAGTAAATCAGTTCAAACAAACACAGCGTTAGGAATTTGACTAAAAATTAAGCATTGGACTGATATGAATTTTATTAATTTAATTTGAGTAACTGAAACCAAAGCAACGAAGAAAACTTCTCTCTCGGGAAAGTCATGAGACTAAAAACAGAATTATTATTTTTATTAGTTAATTAAAGTTAAAAATAATAAATGTAATTTTTTAAAAACTTTATTGATTTAGGCTTTTCATATTTTTTTCATAAAAGCTTTTAATATTTTGTTTTTTCAGAAATTCTTTTAATGTTGATATTAAAATTACTCTATTAAACCCTTTCGTTTTACTTTCTTAATTTTAAAAGAATATTTTATAAAATTTTCTAAAAAAAGTAATTAGTAATGTTGCATAAAAAATGTTTAATGGGATTTCTAATTTAAAAGTTTTTGCATTAATAACTGATGAAAAAAATTATTGTATTCTTTTTGTTTTATAAAAAACAATGAAGTATATCCGTGAATCTAAAAGTTGAGTTTTAGTTAACAAATATTATAAAAATGTTTAAAAATTAATTAAAATTATTAATAATATACATTTTTTTGTCATAATATAATAATAAATTAACACATATGATAAAATTATTAAGTTTTGAATGCTGAAAGTTACATCTATATTAATTTTAATTACTTAATTAATGATATAGCTCTTAAAATTAATGGATAGTATTCTTATGAATTGTGATTGAATTTTAATGTCCAACCAAGCATTCATTGAATAAAATTACCTCAAGAAAAAAAAAAGTTATAATATTTTTCTGAGCTGTTTCCTGTTCATAGATAAACTTTATCTCATTCTTCACAAATTCATTTCACTGTTGAATTTGAAACAAATAGAGAAAATGAGATCAAAGGACAGAAAAATTTCAATAATTGAATTTTTACATACCCATTCAATGCACATACCTCTCTAAATACCAATTACTTGAATATTTGTTATTGTCCACATGGCAGAAAAGGGTGATAATGAAACTGAATCCTATATATTAAGAAAAGGTTGAAAGACGCAGAAAAGGATTCACATTGGCAAAGGAGAGAAGAAACCCACTATAATAATCAGGTCATTCTCCGATTCTGCTTCTTTTTCTGCATTCATCTTCTCTTGTTTCGATTTTTAGGGTACGAAATTCTTCTTGTACATGCGCTGAATTGAAATCTCCCTCTTTTTTTCACAAAACACTGTGTTTTGGTTGGGATGAATTGTGAAAATGCATGTGTTAATATTATTTGCTTTATTGCTTTAGCATTTATTCAATGGGTTTTAGAATGTTCCATGGGTCAAACCAATGTAATGCTGTAAATTTTGTGGATGTTGACGGGTTGGGTTGGGTTGGGATGCATTCTTTGTTTTCGGTTAAGACTCATTTTTTCGTTTTCTGAATGGTGGTCATGAGTTTTTCTTCTGTTGGGAACCCTTATGCGTAATTTCATGTGAAATTTCAGTAAATATCATTTTTATGGCTCTTGCTCTGAAGTCAAGTTGCTTCTTGCAATTGAAGAAACCTGAGGTCGGTTTCCATGTTTGTTTTTCCTCCAAGAAAGCTTTAATCTCTGTCAAGAGATACACTACAGTGGCTGCTATGAGGACCATGAGAGCTCCGGGACTCTCTGAAACATTCACCAGACTGAAACAAGAAGGAAAAGTAAGTACTTATTTTTCCAGTTGTCTGGGTTCCATGCTTGCGATGTTTTCCAACGGATCACATTTCAGCTTGAATGGCAATGTGTTGCTAGTTGCGTTTTTAGTTTTGATTAATTTAATTTTCTGATTCCATATTCTATGCCTTTTCAAATCAATGACTTTTATCTTCCTGATTATATAATGGGTTGGTATTGGTATTGGTAATTATTGTTGTATGTTGGTTGGTTATTTTTAGTACCGTTTTAAGTTTATTGCAAAGAGATATGAGTCGTAGTTCTCTTCTTGACTGCCGAATGAATGTTTTCTAAGAGGTATATTTGTGTCAAGGTGGCTTTTATACCATATATCACAGCTGGTGATCCTGACCTTTCAACCACAGCAGAAGCACTAAAAGTTCTTGATTCATGCGGATCTGACATAATTGAGCTAGGTGTTCCGTATTCTGATCCTTTGGCAGATGGTCCTGTTATCCAGGTTTGATGCTTTCTTTTTTTCTTGTGATACTTATACCACTTGACTCTCAAACTGAAGCATCTTTCTCTTCAGGCTGCTGCTACAAGATCTCTTGCAAAGGGAACCAATTTAAATGCAATCATATCGATGTTGAAGGAGGTAATTGTGCAAATCCTTGCCATTTATTAATTATCACTGTCAACATCTAATGATTTAGCAATTAATTTTCATTTCTTCATTTGAAAAGTTAGCTGTGCAAACATACAATGTTGCTAGATTGTTATGAAATTTGAACGTGTGAGGCCTATCCATCCTGTACCGTCTTCTTACTGAAAACCAGAACAGAAGAATAAACTTGAATGACTTGTACTGATTCTATGCACTTAAGAAATGCTCTAGTATCAATATTAGATATTGGTAGGAAATCGGGAAGGATTATTCCTAAATCTAGGAGATATGATACAGATATCGAATTTCCTATGATACACTAAACTTCCCAAAATTTGAAACTTCGGAGAGAGATCTTCTCTGTCCATTGTTACCTTGTTAAAACAATTATTTCTACTTATAAGGACGGTTAATTCAGAAACCTTTTCGTGTTGCTTTGTCATATGTATATTCTCTTAGCTCCGTTAGCTGATGATCCTTTGCAATGAATGATTTGGCAGGTTGTTCCACAATTGTCATGTCCAATTGCACTGTTTACTTATTACAATCCTATACTGAAGCGTGGTACTGAGAGATTTATGTCCATCATAAGAGAAACTGGCGTACATGGTAAGACTCAGCACAAGTAATATACACCATTTACTATATTTAAAGTTCTTGGGTTTTGCTAATTTAAATATTTATCATCATAGAAGAAAATGTCTCTTCACTCTAGTCCTGGTTACAGCTTCTATATTAGCTTCTTCGTTCAAATGGAAAATTATGAAATAAGATCTTGTTTGTATTTTGTCCCTTTGTTCCTGTAGTGCGGAAATGAGAATGATATTCTTTGCCATATGTATACAGGGCTTGTAGTCCCGGATGTCCCTCTGGAGGAGACAGAGACTTTAAGAGAAGAAGCTAAGAAAAAAGGAATTGAACTGGTTTGCTTACCATTAAAACGAACTCTTGCATTTGTCTTGGATATGAAATTAATTTTCTTATACCATTGATCCTAATCAATGTTTTAAAATCATACCGGTCATTAACCCAATGAAAACATGGAGTGAAGGTTTAAAAGTTTAACCAGAATTTAATTGGAGTCCAACCGTATTTTATAAAATAATATTTTTATAATATAATAAGTTTATTAGTAACAAAAAATTTTACAAAAAAGAAAAAGAATGAAGGATGTTATTATGGTTGCTATAAGTTATAATGACTTACAAATATAACATACATCAAAGAGTGAAACATAGATAATTGTTAAAATAAGATGAAAATACAATAAAATAATTATTATTTAAAATCAAGGTGATTAGTGTGAGATAAAGAAAAAAAACTGGCAAATATTATATATATATATAAATATAAATATTATCTTTAAAATCATTTTTTATCAAGATCAATTCAATCCAAAATGACCGATTTTGTATCAGTCTTGTAGTTTTATATTGATTCAATTAAAATCCAATTATTTGAAAGTAACGGACCGGTCCTGTTGAATCAACTGGTCTAATGTAGTTTTCAAGTTTTCAAAAGAGCAATCCTAATAATAGAAAACTAGTGGTAGATCTTTTTCCTCTATAAAATGAATTATAAATATGAATCCACTAGTTAAGCACAACAAATGAGACGCGGTGATGATTGTAGAGATATGAAGTTTTATTGTGATTAACGTCATTCCATTCTATTGCATTTATCATTTTGCAATATTATATCTATATGTTAGTATATATTGGTTAACATTTTATAATATGTTTAATTTTGTTTTGGTAAATTAATCTTTGTACGTTGATATCTCTAGTTGATTTTGGTATTTGGTATCATTAAGGTACTCCTCACAACACCTACCACTCCAAGAGATCGAATGAAAGCCATTGTTGATGCAGCAGAAGGATTTGTGTATCTTGTAAGAGCTTCCTTCAACCTAATTAACTTCTGTTTTTGGGCTCCACTTCTTATTTTCATATAACTCTATTTACTTTGATCAGGTCTTGATTTAGAGTATTCTCTAATTTTTGTATAACTTCATTATCTGCTTATTTGTGTTCCATATTTATTTCCGAACATTTTATTCGTGTACTGTGTGGATAAGATGTTAGCCATTTGCCATCTGGCTGCCATCCTTGATATTAGAAAGCATATTTGAACCTGGTTTAAGTTGATGAAGAAATCAGAATAAATTTTAACTTTTCTTTTTATGTTGTTGTCATTCATTTGGCATGTTCCAAGAACTCTCGAACTCATCATTGTTACCTCATCTCTTTAAAGATACCAGTATCGCATGCAAAATGCCAATGGCTTTAGTTATTCCTCTGTTTATTAACTCCCCTTTTATTTTCTCTTTGCTCTACAAGGAGACGAAACTATTGTTCGTTGTTGATACAGTTGCCTGTGACAATATTTATCTCTGTTCTATTATTGTGGTTGAATATTACATTTCTTCAAATCTATATATGAATACCAAAAGTAAAGGTCAGAAGATGAAACCCAGCGTAATTTTTAGGATGTTTTTGTCACTTTTCTTGAAAAATGAGGTAGCTTTTTGAAGTATTTACTTTACTAGGCTGGATTGGGACATTTCTTTTGCAGTAGCCAGTCATAGAAGTTGACAGCGGTTATGTTTACCTTATAAAACGAAAATTAGGTTTTTTTCTTATATTCAGGCTTGTTTTTTATAATTAATTTCTAAGTTATTCAAGTTTAGCTGTCATATTACTGCATGTTGACGTTTCCAAACATTTGATTTTAATATATTTTGTGACTAGAACTTGGTAAAGAAATAGTTTTTCAAACAATTTATTCAGTTCACACGTTAAATTGGGTTTAGAGGTTGACAGTGATGACAAGTCACCATAATCCCAACGCTTTTAGAAATTGGATACAGATATAGTAAGATAGTGAAAACAGAAAATATCCTGCATAACTACCTCATCTGCTGGCAAATGTTATTAACCATTTGTTTATTTAATTTATAGGTGAGCTCGGTGGGGGTCACAGGAGCCCGAGCATCAGTTAGTGGTAATGTTCAGTCTCTTCTGCAGCAAATTAAAGAGGTTTGTCTGTTTAATCTTTGGTCTCAACTCTATTTGTATCTTGTATGGTGTGGATGCCTTCTGATCACTTCATTAAAGTTCAATTCTCTTTCCCTCCTTATTTAGTCCCTCCTCCGGTCCTTCCACTTCTCTTTGCTTGCGGGAGCTGGTATCTGATCAATTATGATAAATACAATAGTCTAACAATGAACTTGATTAATCTCAATATTCATACTGGTTGTTTAGTACTTAATTTTTTCAATTGCAATTCAGGCAACAACTAAACCTGTGGCTGTTGGTTTTGGAATATCAAAGCCCGAGCATGTTAAACAGGTTAGTTTTCAGTCCATATTTTTGTATGCTTCTACCTCAAGTCAATTCGGTTAGTAAGTATATACTTTGATACAGGTAGCAGGATGGGGAGCTGATGGTGTGATTGTTGGCAGTGCTATGGTGAAGGTGCTTGGTGAAGCCAAATCTCCTCAAGAGGGATTGAAAGAACTGGAAGTTTTCACCCGCTCCTTAAAGGAGGCACTTCCTTAAAAATGAGCTTCAATGGCTCAAACTTCTAGTAGTTATCGTCATCATAGATATTGGATTTGAATAAGAATGTGGTTCATTTTTTATTTTTTTTTCTTATCATGATTTGGTAGTATCAACAAATTTTGTTCCTTTTCTATTATGATGGGATTTCTTAGTTATATAAATGCCCATTTGAATTTCATCTCCTCTCTTCTCTATTGTGCTGTGCCAACTGGGTAGCTTAATCATTTCGTCTGAGACACCCCCTCTCTTCCAGTATCGATTCAAACTATCATTTAAGACTGATTGACTGAACGATTTGAATCAGGGGGGATTTATTGTAATAAGGCAATCACAAGGTTAGATTGTTTTAAACACAAATGGTTTTGGTTTAGCAATGAACAGTGATTTTGTTGTTAAACTACTTGAAAAAAAATTAAAATCTTAATTGAATAAATGTCCCGGAAGTTCTTTTATTTTGCATGGTCACACATGAAAGTATATTTCACCTTTTACATTTACCAGAGGTGATTTGTTGGAGAAAAGGAGGGAAAAGATGAGATGGGTGAGAAGTTAGATATGGAGTATGGTTGGCTAGACAGATAATAGAAAATACACTCAAATTAGATATGTAAATTAGAAGAAATAATTAATTATTGTACAAGCACTCTTATCACCTTCGTTCAAGAGAAAATAACTTCTTTAAGATGAAAAAGAGAAAAAACTAAGAATGAAAATTATTAAAGTCTCAGGAGTTTGACTCAAATTATTGAATAAGAGAGCATTTATATATTTTTTTTTAAATTAAAATCTATCTTAAAATTTACTCATGAATATATAAATATATTATATTGGTAAAAAACACTATAATTTGTAAACCTTCAAATGTTGTTACTCGTCCAAAAAATCATAATAATCTTCATTAAATATCAGCAGACTAAAAATCTTTTAAAAATTTAATTGATAAATTCACCGGATGGTCCTTTTTTTAAGCTAAACATATATTTTACTATTTGCCGCGTGTTTGAATGAAGTAATTTCACGGACTGATCAAGAAGTGCACTCAATTATAGATGGAACCCACCGAAATGCACTTGTGATACGAGAAAATGTGTAATCAACATTTTTTATTGTTCATTTTCTAGTGATTTATAATCTTTGCAAATTGTCAACTACTGAGCACAAAATTTAATAGTGGCAGTTAATCACCACAAAATTTTAAATTATTTTTGTTAAAATATAATCTATTATGCTCAGTTTAAAACATACAGTATAATTAATTTTAATTATTAAAATTATGTCAGTTTTTTTCTTTAATATTTCATTTTAATTCTCTTATACCAAAAAAATTCATATTTTCACATTTATCACTTATTTTTCTTTTTCTTTATCTATCAATTTGATTTTTCTTTATTTCTTCTCCCTTGTCAAATCTATTTTAAACAACCAATAAGTATAACGGATTTTTTAAGAATTAGAGAAAAATCCTAATCCCAATTTTAATAACTCTCATGATTTTAATTTCTAAAATTTAATAATTATTTAATATATTTATTTATATATTTATAATTTTATTCTTTTATCCTTTTTTTTTATCTTTTTATATTTATATATTAATTATTAATAGTATATTATTTAACTCAAATAATATATTACTTCCTATATTTATTTATTATTATTATTAATATATTATTTCACACTGAAATGAATGATCAAAACCTATCACATATAATTAGAAAAACAAACATGCATCATGTAACTGTTCATGCATTCTAATAATACAAAACATATTGTGATGAATTAAATTAACATTTTACACATACATTCTATCAATAATTACATCAGACCATTCGGATCAGGGACCAGAATTATTTTTCTAAGAGTGATAACGCAATCCATGCAGCTACGGTGGATAGCATTGGCTAGAATAACTATGAAACAACAAAATTGTTTGGGACTAGAGAAAAAAATTAACCATAGACATAGATAAAAACTTGGTATGGGGTCTTTTGAAGTGTCCCATTGAAGTGCCCCTACTGAATTTTGGAACCAGACTGGAGACCCGCTTGCACTTTGCTTTGAAAGTGGGATTCTAACCTGCATTCACAATCATAAATGTAAGAAACATGACAGGGAGGGGAAAGGGTGAACCAGGAGTTGGAACATGCCTTGTAGCACATTTGTAATAAATGGTTTCTGGAGAATTATAGGTGCGCGCATTCGCAAACATTCTTCTGACATCCGCAACAAACATCTCAAATGTTACATAATATAGCTCTGACTCCACCCTCTTAGACATTGTCTTCAAATCTGAACTCAAAGAACGAATATATTGTGGACATTAGACAATAGACTTTTCGTGGTTGTTATGTGTTCTCATATTTTTTATTAATCCAAACTAGTTCTGAAGTAAACTGTATTGAAAAAACTAAACCAAACTATTCCTTTAGTTTCATTTCATACTTACAAACTAAATTGTCCTAAACTGAATTGCTTAAATTGAACTGAACTGTATCATGAGATTAAAAAATGTTTAAAAATAAGATCTTTACTGATAATAACTCAAACATTTTGATGAGTTCAATCAGTCAAAAACAATTTCAAGCAGTTCTATATATATATATATATATATATATATATATATATATATATATATATATATATATATATATATATATATATATATATATATATATATATATATATATATATATATACATACTCACACACAGTCGTGGTGAACGCACAAGTGTGAAAAAGATAAAGCTAGCTCCAGATCAAAAATAGATAGATGACGCGAGGAAATCATAAGAATGAATGTGATTAATATAAGCCAAAGGTAGTTATTATGAAATATATGTATCCTTCTCACCCATTGGATCTTTGATGATGTCATAATAATCAGGAACATCCCGTGCATCAACTGGATCCTTGAATGGCCAAGCATCGGCGTGATCGTGCATTGACTGCTCAAAAAGATAAATCCAATCATAAGAATTAATTTCTAATCATATAATTCTTCTGATCGCATGCATGTTTTCATTTGCCAAGAATAAGGATCTATTCATCAATGCTCTGCGGGAATTTGCAGAGTTTCTAATGGAAATTAAATTATAACAACTTAAATGAATGGAAATTAAAGTAAATGTAAAGAACATCTAAGAAACTTGCCTTTAGAAGTGATCGCATAAAACCAGACAAATGTTTTTGATTAGTAGCATTGTCAGTAGAAACATTTAGACTTCTGAATCTTGAATGACCCCACTGATCAGGAGTCCATCCAGCCTCTCCTGTCATTGCATTCAGTGAAACATTACATTATGGGCCATTTTTTTCACAACATCCCACTTGATAAACTAATCTATTAAGCCAGGTTTGAATGGGAGGTAAGGAAGGGGAAAGCAGCAAAAAGGTTAGAACCATGCATAAGGTTTTCCACAGACGGTGGACATCTCGTTAATTAGTTAGCAAAACCTAAAAAAAGTATGAAAGGAGACACAAAGCATGCTATCTTTAAAGACAGTAATGCATAAGTTTACACAGCTACCAAGCACAAATAATTTCTGGAACTCAGATTGGGAATTAAGTACTTACTCAAACCAGGGATATCATCAATAATTTTTTTAGGAATGCCAGCTTCTTTCTGCACATTTAATAAACCAGGTGGGGCAATAGTTAATATTCATCACACAATTTACTAGTATATGAAAAGAGAAGCAAAATGTAACTTCAACCAAAAATGGAATATCCGCTCTAACAAAAATGTCAAAATATGTTTGTACCTTTTGAAAATCAATTCCAGCATAGACTATGTGACAGTTTGACAGCTCTCTGATTTTTTCATCAATAGCCTACAATTATAACCAATAATGACTTAGCACGTCAGAATTGATATATGTTAAAACTGAATGACAAAAAAATAGGCAGACAGTCACTACATGAGATAAAAATAACGATGCATGGATAACAAATGAGGTTCCATTCTATAAAAGTTCTCAACTGCTAAGTTTTTGAGAACCCCCCGCACACCCTTCAGCAGTGGGTGCGGAAATGTGGTTGAGAGAAAAGCTTATAGCAAAAGGTTAAAAACAGAGGTCTATTTTACAATAAAGAAAAAAAAAAATTTAAGCGATACAGGTGAAAACTTATACTTTAACTGGTAGAAATATATCAGAAGTTTTAACAAGAACTTCCAATAGTATATCATATAACGTGCTAATCTTGAGTATCTCAAATAGTGCAAAGAAAAATTAAAAGAGTAGCAAATAGAAATTTACTGACCTGCCTTTGACGCCGGATCATAGTAGACAAATCAGTGTAAGGGAGCTTTGGATCTATCTTGCATTCCATGAGAATTCCTCCATCATAATCCTTTATATAACTGAAATGACGATTACATAAATTGAATCATCATATCCATAGTATACAACATACAAAAATAAATAATGATGAAATTATTATCTAATGGGGTATTAAAAATACAATGTAAATAAAAAATCCTTGAAATAAAATCATAAAATGAATGTCCCATTCCACAAAAGAATATCAAATACAATCATACCCTTGCCATCTATCTTTCTCCAAGTGAATCTCTTTTGTAAATCCCTGAAAACAGAATCAAACATCATCATAATGTCCAAAAGAGAATCCAGTTAATTCAACACAGTCATTTCACAAACTCCCCTCCCCCTCCCCCACCTCTTCCAAATGTAGAAAGAAAACCTTAAGAGTATCAAAAGATGAAACCAAAAGAACAAGATACAGACTCCTATCAGTGCTACTTCTGCATCTGGGAATATTCCTCTATGTCTATCAGATTCAAGACAAACTTAACAAGGAAATACACATCTTTGTGAAAGCTTGTTGAAGAAAAACTGAACTTGATGACCTCCTATGAGAAAAACAAGAGTCAGTTCACACAGACTGGCTCAACAATTATTTCTTACACTTGGGAGCAATATCTTAAAACTTTGCCCTTTAAGATTTGTGTTGGAAGTCCCACATCACCTGTCTCATGTCATTTGGTATGGTTTAAATACATGTTAGGCTACTTCACATATTGCCAATTGATTTTATGTTGGAACCTTAACATGGTATCAGAGTCAAAGTCTAACATCTTTCCGGTTATTGTCTTGGGTCAAGAGTTGTCATTTCGTTGTGGGTCAAAATACCTTTTGTCTGGTCAGGCAGGCTTCGTTAGAGGGGGCGTGTTGGAAGTCCCACATCACTTGCCTAATGTCATTTAGTATGGTTTAAATACATGTTAGGTTACTTCTCATATTGCCAATTAGTTTTATGTTGGAACCTTAATAGTTTGTAGGTTGGTGGTTCAATTAGCGGGTCACTGGTTGACCTGCATGAATCGAGATAGATACAGTGGTGAATGCGCACACAAAAAATGATCCTTTGATTACAAAATGAACACTCTAATGTGTGAAACTTGAAAAATTGCTTAGTATGAAGGCAAAAATTTGAAAAGGTTTGAAATTAAAGAATCTCAGTTTGCTCAAACTGGACTATACCAGTTCCATCTAATTTTTACCAGTTTAATGACACCATCACTAGTCTGAGCCAGGTTTTAAAACATTTCTTGGGAAACAAGACTTTAAAATGGGTTTGTAGTCCCAGTTGTATAGTAAATGAGGTTGGTTTCACATTAAGGAACTTGTAACATACTGTATAATGCCCAGCTGGTGATGTTTCAGACAAAAGGTGTATGTCTTTCTTCCCTAACCAAAGCCAACAAGGAATATCTATAAAATCTCCCTTGTAAGATAGTAAAAAAAAAAAACAGTTTTTTAACCCAAATTAGACACATTTTAGTTATTACCAATACCAAAATAATACATTTCCCAAAATATGCTCCTTTAGCAATGACACACTTTTTCTGTATTACACATGGCTGCACCATCCCTATTGGCACAATCCAAGTGGGATTCAGTACCAAAGTGGCACAATCCACATTGCACATACACATTAGAAATACATATAGTACTTCATTTCTTCCTGCATCATAAACTGGCACAATCCATGTGGCAAAGAGTCATGATTAGGGAAATTATTTTTGAGAAGTGTATTATTTTTGTAATAAGTTTGCAATTAACAAAAAATAGTAAAAACATGTTTTCAAACCCAAGAAATTTGTTTTCAGAAAGTACAATAAATAATCAAACCTGTTTGATAAAATAGCCAACTGCATTGTTGTCAGCATATGTGAGAAAATGTGTCAGCCCATCCACATCACGTGCATACTGTTTTAAGTGATTCATCAATCTGGTACCATAACCCTTTACTTGCTCATCAGCTGTAATTGCACAAAAGGCTATCTCACCAAACTTCTGGCTGTCAATCATAATGCACAACAGTATTAACAAATAACACCATATATTAGCCAGGCATGTAAAGATTTTAAATACAAGTAGGAAAGAGAGCAAAAATTAACAAGGTGAAACAAGGAAATAAAATATATATTCATATCTATGATATATTCTATAAAACTATGAGTTGGACTAATCCCATATTATTCACTTGTATGGACTTTGAAAAGCATTTTTATCATATGCAACCAAAGCAGCAATTTGCATTACACAATGAAACAATGAAAATAGACAATAATAAAATAATATCATAATATATAAATTTCATAGTAAACAGACAATAGTTCACTCTTTTTGCAAGCTAATCTTTGCTAGTAACCATTTAAAACGACAGACATTAAAACAGGAACAATAACAAAATAATGTCATGATATATATATTTTAGGGAAAAAAAAATTGACTTACAGAATCTGAGAAAATAGTAATGGAGATAAATTGTTACCTAGCATATGGGCGATATGTAATGCCCCCAACAACGTGGTTCCGCCGTATAACCATCACAGACTTATGGCTCCTACAAGTTTATCGTAAGAAAGGATTTATGATTATAAGGAAAGAGGAAGGAAAACCAGTTCAAAAAAACTGAACATGCCCGAAAATTAGAATTAGACAATTTGTATAAGAAATATCTCAATACATATCAAACAACAGATTGCTAACATTACCTATCCATTACAAGCCGGACAATGTACTCCTTTGGCATATTGGGAAGTTGTCTAGCAAATATATTCTTCAATCCAATCAACCTAAGGAACAAATAACAAAAGCAAGAATGGAACTCATAAACACATAAATTTTATTGAAAGAAATATACCCAAGTCTATTTTGCCAACTTTGACAAAATATATGATATGTTTACATGATACCAAAGTTTATTTTAATATATCTTAACTTTTAGAGCAAACATTCATTTTCATTTGTTATTCTTAAGTGTGGGTGTTTCGTTTAGAGGCTCCAAACATCAGTTTATACTTTCCCAAGCACACAACGGAAAAAGGAACAACACTGGTGGAAAATGCTGGTTACAATCAACTGAACTGTAACCCAAACACACTCTAAGATGTATGCATCGCATCACATATGTCTTCTAGCTATTAATTAGGCATCAAATAGCCCCTCAATGTCAATGAAGAATGTCAATTTAGTCCTTGAATTTCTGTTGAATCGATCCTTCAATGGAGTAATGTATGCTGAAATGATCTTTCAATTCATATATGTATGTATGTCCGTGTGTATGTATAACTTTGCTGAAATTACTTTAATTTTATTTTAAATTATTTGTCATCTCTAAAATCAAAATATTATTTTATTAATTATATTTTTATTAAATAAAATGACATATTAGATATTATAATAGTACAAGTGTATAATGTACGCTATTATAGATATCAGTGACACAGCAGGGTAGCACAATGTACAAGGGAAAAGAAAAATACATACCAAACCATATGCTCATCAACACCATCGTTTGAATGGCATACGAATTTAAGCCTTCCTGCTTCCTCCTGACAAATTTTCAACAAACATAGTCACAACCATGAACACCTATCACGTCAAACAGTTTTTTCAACAATTTATTCATCAAGATGTAAACAAACCCATGAAATTTCCCTAAATTATTCATCTAATGTAAACAAATGAAATTGCCCCAAATTATTCATCTAAATGTAAAAAAATGAAAATACCCCAAATTATTCATGTAAAAGTAAACAAATGCAACGCCCCAAACGATTCAACTAAATGTACAAATAATGAAAATGCCCAAAAATGTAAAAAACCATCACATTATATTGAACCAAATATTTATAACCATTGACAAGCGAGTTAATATTCATAATCAGCAGATATAGGGACCAAATAAGTAATTAAACCTAACAAATTTTAATATTTTTTTTGCTTAAATCCACTTATAGCTCCTCATAGTTTCATCAATATACAATTTTGGTCCCTAGAAAAATCTGATAACACATTTGGTTCTCTACTTTTCCAAAATAAAGCAATTTGTTCTTCAACATTATTATATCTTCTAATTGCTAAAAAATGTTAAAGTGTTCTAAGTGACAAAATAGGTTTAAGCTTAGTAATATTAATCCGCTACATGAATAAATAAGTAAAACTGTTGTCACAAACTGACACGGCAATAATTTTTTTTTTTCGTTAGAAAATGGATATAGTAGGACTAGAATTCCTTAAATTTTGAAAAAATATAATCAAATGTAGAGTTAAATTTTGATATGGATCGAAATTTCACATTCTCAAACCTACGAACCAAAAGTGGATTTAAGGCTAATTTTATTCGTGAATGAATGAACGAAGAGACAAAGGGGTATACCTCCTTCTTGAGACTCTCTTCCCTAGCTGTGTAAGCCCCACTCGTTTGCAAATTATCAGTAAAAATCTTAGTAGGGTCCTCCTTAACCACAATGCCAGGGACGGATCCAACGGCCTCGGCGGCACCCGCTCCAGCGCTTCCAGCGTCTTTTGCGCTGTCGGAGTTCTCAATTTTGACGGCGGAGTTTTCAGTCTTGAGCTTGGTATTTCGGGGAGCAGAGGGAGGGTTACTGAGCCTGGAGGCGGTGAATGTGCGCATGGAGGAGTCATTATCGTAGTCGTCCTCATCATCGTCGACGACGGCGTCCTCGGAATCGTCGTCGGAATCGGAGTCGGCGCCGCGAGCGGAGATGCTCTCCAGGTCGTCATTGGAGGTGAGGGCGCCGTCGCGGGTGTCCGCGGAGAAGGAAGAGGGCGGGAAGGGAGGCGCGTGGTCTTCAGACGCGCGCTTGCGCTTGTGGATGGAAGAGGTGGCGGAGGCTGAGGCGGAGTGGGAAGGAGAAGGGGACTGGGAACTGCGGGAACGAAGTGGCCCTCCGCCGTGCGACTCCATGTTAGGGTTTGTCCTTTCGCTCGGAATCCGAAAATTGGAGTTTGTTCGAAGGGATCGATCGACTTTGTTTGCTCTACAGTGCCAACGTTTGTAATTTGTCCGCTCAACGTGGATTTTGTATTGAGTGCGACGAAGGGGGTAGATTTTATATATATATATGTGTGTGTGTGTGTGTTTGTGTGATTTTTTAATTATTTTTTAATTTTGGATGAATGGATATATTTTGGTTTTATTACAGGAAAAATGCATTTTAAATTTTAATATGTTTTTCTTCTCTAAAATTTGCTTTGTTTTTAGTTCCTAAAATTTTTGTCTTTCGTAATCTTTTATTTTGATTCTTATTATTTTATTTGTCCTTCTATCAAAAATTCTATGCAGATTATTTGTTTTTAGTTTTTTATCAAATATTTTTCAGATAGACTAATTCAAATGAACAGAATATTATAAAGATTTAAACAAAAATATAGATTTTGCATTGACTAAATAAAATAATAATAATAATAAAAATTAGAGAGTCCGTTGAGAAAAATATTTGATGGACCACAAGTATACATAATTATAAAAATATATTTAAAAATAAAATTTAAATAATTACGAGAAGCTAAATTGCCATTTCGTTAAATCAGTTGTAATGATATTTAAATTCATGTTACACATTCTATCTTTATTTATCAATTTTATTTACTATTATATTATTTCCCACATGTTTAATATCTGTGTGAGTTTGATCATCTTGTATTTTCATTTCATTTAAATTTGATGGATATTAACAAAATTTGATTCTAAATTTAGAATATTAGGAAAATACCTAATTAAAATTAATAATAAAAATATATTGAAACCTTTTAATATTTGTAAAATTTATATCTATAATATTAATTGATTATAATTATTAAATAATTAAGATATAAATGAACTGGTTTAGGTTAAATTACTTTAAAGATGAAAATTTTAATAAATTAATAAGTTAATAATATATTTGAAATTCATTAAAATAAATAATTATTTACATATCATTGTCTTTCTCATTTTATTAATCTTTCTACCAAATGTTTAACAATCTTATTTTTGTATTTTATCTTTTGTTTGTTTATAACTCATTTTATTATTGTTTTTTTTTAATCTCTTTATTACGGTTTGTTTTTATCTTTTTTATATCATGTTAGTATTATTTTTAATTAAAACAAAATAAAAACATTTAAATTTGAGACATGAAGTAGTACGCAAATATCTTCTATACAGGTATTGTGTTGATTCGTTTGAGATTTGATAACATTACTTGTAGAGTTGTATCACTTATAAATAATTTTTTTTATAAAATAATTATTTTCTTATAAATTTAGACAGACTGTGCATGTTTTTATTTATTTGGTTATTTTCACCGATGAACTAACTTACAATATATTTAACTTCAATTATTTTTTTACATTAAATAAATATTATTTTATATGAATAATATTTATGAAAACAAAAATTATAAATATATAATATCATAATTAATATTTATTTCAAATAATTTAAATTATGATATAATATTATTTTAAATATTAATAATTTAAAATACATATATATAATTAAAATTACAAATTAAGATATTTTAAATAAAAAATCATTAAAAAAAACATAGCAATATTATCCATCCCAATAAATAGTTAAAAATCGACTTTTTTACTGAAATAATATTATTATAATATATATATATACCTTTCATGAAATTATTTACTCAATTGGACCTCTTTTTCTGTTGTACTTGGAATTCGGTTTCCTGAATTCCAACTTTAAACTTATCACTTTTTTTTAATAAAATATATAATTAAAAATAATAAAATTATATAAAATTAATAAAATTAATATTAAAATAAAATTTTAATTTTAAAATTTAATTAATATTTATATATAAAATAATATATTATTTAAATATATATTAAATTATCTAAATATATTTAAATAATTATTTAAAATATTAAATAATAAATTTTTATTATATTTATTTATTTATTTATTTTTTAATAGAAAATTTAAAATTTATATATTTTTTTAATTATATGAATTATTTAAGTTATAATTTTAGAAAAAAATGATAAATTTAATATATAAAATATTAAAAGTAAAATTAAAAATAAGTTATTAGTAGCAAAATGAAAATTATAGAACATGATATTAAGAAAAATAAACTTATTGAAATAGAAATAAAGGATAAAACACACCTTCTAATTGAAAAATGATTAATTATAAAAGACATACATAGAATTTGAAATGACTTAAATGAAAATGAATTAAAAGAGCTATATTGAAATTAATTTATTATAATATTTCTAATCGGATAGATCTTTCTCTTCCTTTGTTGTCAATGTAACTACTTGTCTCTATCATCTTTTTGAAGTTCTTCAAGGGTTATTGCATAGCACAGATCAATAGTTTTAATAAATAATTAAATATTTCTCCATATTTGGTCACGTTGCACGGTTCTATGTATTGTTTTAGACTTTTTCCATCTTCTAATCATTTGTTGCACATCAGAATCAGTTTTGATTTCTATGGAGTCGTGAAATAGTTTATTGTTGATAACTTGGATTGGACATCGATAGTTAATCTTTGTTATTTGTTTACGATCTCCATAATCCAGTATTTCACTAATTCTTCGAAAAAATTGGTTGAAAGACCAATTGTGTTCAACTACCATTGTCCTTGGATAAAAGCTTGTGTAATCCAAAACCATATGGAGAATCCTTGATGGTAGCACGTTAGAGAGGTCCGTCGAAATAAAGTATGACTTTTGTAGAATTAATGGGTTGATCGTTTGATGAAGAGGTTGTGGGAGGTGGGTTTAGAAGCATGATAATTTGTTCAGGTGTTCTGACCAATATGGCATTAAGTTCAATTACTGTATCTATAGAAAATTGAGACTTTCAAGCAAGCATCTGCGCTACATGAACATTAGTTAATATAAGAATGATATCATATGTTTGTAAATTCTCACCGTTCAGATTTAGTTTACAATAATACAACTTTCTGAATGTTGTCTCATGAGGAAGAGTTAGAACAGTACATATTTTTTGTTTCAGCTCCATGAAGGTACATTGGTATGGGATTCGAAATAAATTAGGCGATGGACCATAGAAGCTTACACCTTATTCATTGTGTACAATTTCACCATTTGCAAAGACAGCAACTAGGTAAGAATTTGTGAAATGTAAGAATTTGTGAAATGTAAGAATTTGTGAAATGTTGACTATTGGTGATGCCAAACTCTTCCATCTGAAGATTTTTTAGAGAATGAGAATGATAATGAGAATTTTAATATTTCGTAGTTGTAGTGCATTTGTTGAAAGATGTAATATATGATATTTATAGACAAATGATAGGAAAGGTGAATAGAAAATGTGGACGGTGGAGATTTAGGTTATGTAATTGAACAATTGAGATTCATTGTTCGTTTCCCTAAGCATTGTTAATGTGTCATCGTCCTTATCAGAATGATGATAAAAGTGTTCAAAAAGTTTTGCATGAATAAAGACTAAGCAGTATTGATGTGTTATAGTTTGTATCAGAGTGATGATAAAAGTGGTGAAAAAGCTAGGTTGGTGATTGTGACTAAACAGTATTGATGTGTCACAGTCTTTATTAAAGTGATGAGAAAATTTGTCAAAAAGTTCTGCTGGTGATTGTGACTAAACAATATTGATGTGTCATAGTTTATATTAGAGTGATAAAGAGTAAGCATTATCTCATCCAACTATTGTGTTGCTTCCAAGTTATTATCTTTTACTATGTTGTAATAGTAAAAGAATCTAGGCTCAGTCATGTCATATGCTACAAAATTTTTTAAAGTGAAATTAATATAAGTAACTAACAAAATATAAAAAGATATTAATAATAAAATCAAGCATTAATGATATTAAAAACTTCAGAAAAATAAAGAGTTACTCATATTGATCACATCCTTCTTGAGAGCAGTTGTCGCATAAAATTTTGTGCAATATGCCTAATGCAATACACATGCATAGAATTGTTTTCTGTCCAACCACTTTCATGTCTGCAATATGCACTTCTTATGGACTCATGACGATTTGAAATGAGACACAACCCCTCTTGTGGTGTTACGTACCTCCGTAGGTTTCTTAAAAAGAAGAACCATGTATCACTAGTTTCACCTTTTACAATACACAAAGACAATTGGAATTATGTTGTTGCGTTCGTTTTGTGCAACTGCCACCAATAAGGTCCCTTTATACTTTCCATATAAAAATGTTCCATCAACTTGAATAATAGGTTTGTAGTGACGAAAACCATCAATACATGGTTTGAATGACCAAAATAACCTCTTAAAGAAAACATAATTGTTGTCCACCACCTCACCTTGGTACGCAGGTTGTGTACTCATCTTCCAAATAAAGCCCGGAACATACAATTCCATTGCTTGCAATAGAGTCGGTAACTTATGATATGAATCCTCCCAGTTGCCATAAATTTTTTCGATGGCAATTTGTTTGGCCAACCATCCCTTTCGGTAGCTGATGGTATAACCCACAGTTGATTTCATGTGTCCTATGATGGTGGAGATAGGTGTTAAAGGATTAGTCTCAACAATGTCACAGATTGTTTGGGAAATCATTCGTGATTCCAAATTGTTATGATCATGTGAAATGAGAGGTGCAAGACATGTGTGTTGCCCTTCCAACTTCATTATTTCCCAATATTGGTCTTTGGTGCGCAATATTGTTCGACATCTCCATTCACAATCGGTATGAACACATTGCACGACAAACTTATCCGGGCTTGATAGTTGAACCTTGTGAGTACAATGGTTTACTATATGAAATCAGTTGATAGCATATTGCACTTGTTCTTTCATGGTGAAACGTTAACCAACGAATAGTGTTTCAGGTGGATAAACTATTGTTTCCCGATCTAGGACATGGCCAAATTCTAAATCATCTATTTGTATATGAGTTGGGAAGTTGAGAAAATGTTGTGGTGGGTTGTATGGTATGTTTGGT